GGGCCTTGAAGTTCTTTGAGTGGTTAACAGAGAAATGTAGATAACCTTCTGAGGGAAGACGATTATACGCCTTCCGCTCGTCCGTTACCACTATACTGCCTTTGGCGACCCATTTTGTAGTAACGGGACGGAGAGCGGGCCAACTTCGATCAGTCACCTGTTCAAATAAGGCTTTCTGTCAGCTAGTATCGTACATTCCCACCAGCCATCACTCATAAAACCCCTATTACCACCTGTCCCGTAAGACAGACTGCTTTTGTTAGGCGGATTTTTTGGGTGCCATCTCCCGATTGTTACCCGTTCCGTCTTATGTCAGAAGTCAGGGAGCTGTGAGAGCAGGTTTATTCTGTACACAGGGCAGGTTGTCGTGAGTTGGCTGTTTGCTTGTGACAGAGCTAAGCGTCCGTTCCTGGAGGGCATCAGTCGCCGCGTGTTCTTTACGCGTCAGTGCATGTCTGTGTCAGCAGGAGGGAGTGACTGGCTGAGTGTTGCTCATGTGGTTGGGCGGGTATCAAGGCAGGCCGTCCGAGGGGCGTGAGGTGAAGAAAGTTTTGTGCGGGCAGGTGGAGAGTGGGTGCCTCAGCTCTAGACGGCGTGGGGTGGCCGTGTGTCAACAGCCTGTCAACGGTTGTCACGGCGATCGACCGATAAAACGGTGCCGGAGAAGGGGAGGACTGGAGTGGCTGCTACAACGTTAAGAAGGAGCCATTTCAGTCAGACTGTCAGTCCACCAGTCGGCCACTCCACCCAAACACACACTGGGCTTTCTGCGAGGTCTGAGTTATCCTGTTAGTTGACAACCTTCCAAGTCAGGGCTTTTAACGCACTATGCCAGGTGCTAGAGACGTGTGGGACCAGAGAATGACAACAGTCGAACTGCCGTGACCTGATGTTTATCCGAGGGGATGAACATGTGCTAGACCTGCAGGATTGACCGGCATTACGGTCAAGCGATCGTATTGGGCTGTACTTCGAGTACTCACTGGTTTCCAAACCAATTTTGCCTCATCGGTGGGAAAGAAACATTTGGAAGTGGGACTACCCACTCATGGAAAATGAGGCGTTCGAGGTATCATGGGGAACAGAACTTCGTGGCGGAGCAAATGACAATTGGAGTGCTTACAGTTCCTTAGTGAAAAGGATTGTTTACCTAAACTGCCCTCTCAGGATAAGGACAATTGCAAACCGTCCAAAGTGGATGGATTCAAAAGATTAGGCCTCTTTAGATGAGAGGCGGTCCTGCTGGGAAAAGGGGAAGCCGAGGCGCGTCCAATATGGAAGCGTAAACAACACACCACGACTGACTCTCTCGGGGAGGAGACGCTTAGCTCTGTCACGTGCTAACAGCCAACTCATGGAAACCTGCCCTGTGTACAGAATAAACCTGTTTTCACCGCTCCCTGACTTCTGACATAAGACGGAACGGCTGACCGCTATGGCTGATTTCCGTAATCCAAAACGGGATGTGGAACTGTTAAGCATTACCATATCTGCTATGAATGTCCGACCACTGACACTTTCGGTGGTGTACCGCTCGTCTAACCAGACTCACCCCCCCTCCTCTTCCTTCTTCTCCGCCACCTCCTGTCCTTCCTCAATAGAGGATCTATACTTTTCGGCAGCCTAAATTAGGGTCGAATTACTCCAATTGAAGCCTGCCGAATGGCCAGGCCGGGATAGGATTCCTGCACTACCACCTCAACAACTTCCCATCCAACTGTGCGAACCACCATCTATCATATTTCAAAGGTCATTTGAAGAAGGCGAACTCCCGGAAAGAATGGAAGCGTGCATTCATCATCCCGATCATAATGGAAGTTCACGACTTGACTGTGAAAACCACCCTCCTGTCAGTCTAGCTTGCAGAAATAATGGAGCGCATTGTCAAAGGACATTTAATGGAATACCTGGAGAGAAACAAAATACTGAGTGATGCCCAACATGGATTTCGTCCGGGACGCTCTTGCCTCACGAGTTTTCCTTACTCGCGTGAGAAATGGACAAGGGCCACAGACAGGGGTAATCCAGTAGATGTCACATTTTTGACTTCAGGAAGTCCTCTGAGAGCTTCCCAGTTAGGCTTCTTTTACAGGAGACTTGGGATATAGGATTTCAAGGAAGAGTGGTTAAATGGATCAGGAGTTTCCTGTTCTTAAGCTCCTCCGAAACGACAAGGCCCTTTCTAGACAGGTTGAACGAACGTTTGAGATCCGAGAGGAGGCTCGTGAGCGCCAGAATGATGTCGGCACATTGCAGGAGGAACCGGCGGTATAAGTTAATCAGGCCAAACAACCGATCCAGTTGACGCTTGCAAGCATGAGGCAGAAATTCACGAATGGCCGTGACCTTCGAAGGAAGGGGATGGATGTCTGTGGAGTCAACTAGGTATCCGAGAAACTCGAGGAGGTAAACGCCGAAAACGCACTTGGACGGGTTGAGAACTATTCCAAACTGTTGAAGTAGGTCAAACACCGTTGAAAGATGCTCCATATGTTCTTGGTCAGATGAGCGGTTACCAACATGTCGTCAATATAGGCAGGCCATGAAACATTCTGTCTACGAACTTTCGGAAAGTTTTGGGAGGCGTTGTGAAGTCCAAGCGGCATAAGCAACAACTCAAAGAGGTCAAAGGGAGAAGTGACGGCCGCTTTTGAAACATCCTCTGAAGCGATGTGTGTCTGGTGAAATGCACTGGCAAAATCTTGAAGTTGTAGCACAGAATAGTGGTCCGGGATAGTTGCGTTGTTTGAGGCCCTGTAGTCACCGCAGGGGCACCAGTCACCAGTAGTGGTCTTTGGAACCATGTGGAGGGGCGAGTACCATGGATTTTCAGATTGACGGATGATGTCCATCTAAAGCATGTGCTCAAAGTCGACCTTGACGGCAGCAAGACGTGGGGCAGATGTGCTGAAGTTTGGACGGTTAAAGCCGGAGTACTTGGCGAGGAGCTGCCGATAAGGACTGTCGGCGTCAGGGTCCAGAGTGGCAGGTTGGCGGGAGACTTCGGACGAAGGGGCACCCCTGATGTGGCGTTTAGTGGTCTGGTCTCGTTGACGTGACTGACGACAGTCCATCAGATGATCCGAGGTAGCAAGAAAGTCTGCACTGAGAACGGCACAGGACACGTCCTCAACGGCAAAGACGCAAGGAAAGAGACGCCGAGGGCGGATGTCCAATGAGAGTGAGCGGGAACCGAGGATGGCAATTGGCGGAGGAGGAGGAGGAGGAGGAGGAGGAGGAGGAGGAGGCGGCCAGGGTTGGGACACCGACAGCCAGTTGCTGTTGGAGGGATGACATTCAGGTGGGCACAAGTATCAACCAGGAACCGTCTGCCACTCCTGGTGTCGCAGACGTAGAATGTGCGAACAGGGCTAGACATGCCAAAGAGATTGGTCGCGCTGATCTTCCGACTGACCCGTCTGCGTGGCTTGGAGACAAAGGAACATGAAGAGATGTGGCGACACGCATTGACTCCAGTGGAAGTGAGGTTTGATTCCGGCAGGTGGCGGATGTGTTGGGTCGATCTGAATGTGCAGAGTGGACGTGCTGGGTAGACGACCTCAACGGACTTTGGGGGTGATGAGGGGACTGCTTATACTTGGAGAGAAACGATATCTTGGACAAAGTTCACAAGCTCAGAAGTCAGGTTCGAGGCAGAAGACACAGGAGTAATTGCAGAGGTTGAGAGTGCTGAGAGTGATGGCTTTGATAAACCTTTCAGCTGTATAAGCCATTCCGCTTATTGAGTAAGTTGTGCGGCCGAAATAATGCCAGATGTCGGTGCCAAAATATGCTGAACTTCATGTGGAACGCTGTCCATTGTCAACGCCTGTCTATATCGTCGATTGGGAAGAAGGTACATAGTCGTTCGTACGTCTGAGGTCACCAATTGTCGAAGTAGAGTATAGGCGACATCAAGTAGGCTCCCTAATCACCAGTGAGGGAAGACAGACTGGCTGGACAAGTTTTAATAAAGTGAGCAAGTGTACAATGAGTCTGCAAGCAGTTGCCACATTTTCACCAAGTCGCCAGGCGATTTTGTACGGCCAGTGTTTAAGTGAATGTCATAACCGGTGGACTCGGAGCCCCAATACCTCTCTGATTTCCTACGTTTTGGGTTCGTCCGCTGACTGAATCTGATGCCTTCTTAACCGAACAATTATATCTGTCTTGGCTAAAGTCGTCGCATGGATCAGACTTGGAAGGAACGTGTACCACACCAGGCGCTGTTGCATGAAGAGGTTATTCTGCATTGGTCTCAGTTAGAAGTCTACTTCACAAATACGAGACAGCAAAATTCGATGATTTCAGGTGTCCATATATACATTTCTTACATGACGGTTACCGTGCCATTGGCTTGAATCACCACTGCTTCTAATCGCTCCCGCTTCACATGCTGTACGAATTTTCCATAATCTCCTATGAAAGTAGCCTGTGCCCACGTTGGCCTCTGGTGGGTCTATTGATCCGACTGCACACGCTTTCATGCTGGCGACTCCTACGCTTGCCTTGCTTGACTGTCATCAAACGCTTGGCGTCTGTGTTTGAGCAAGTCTCGTCCTCAAGTTCATGCTAACACGTCAGCACTGACAGCCAGCCAGCCAGCCAGCCCTCGCAGACTCATCAGTAGACAACCAAACATCCTCTGGATGGCTTTGTCCGCGACGGCGGCCCAATTAGTGACCATCCGCACATTCGGGACTTTCTCGCGGGGGATACCCGCGCACGCGGTGGCCATTTCGCAGGAACGTTACGTAGAAAAACAAACAAGGGTGATTCTGGGACGGTCACACTTGTCTGCTTTTCAACATGAAGTTAAACCTTTATGCCACATTCGCATCTCTAAGTTAATTCCAACTTCCGACTTCTAGACCGACTACATATAAGGCGCCCCATCACATCGAACACTCCCCGCACACGCGGTGGCCAGTCCGCGATCGGCACGCAATGTGCGGGAAAGTTATCGGACACTCAACGGCTAGTACGCCATCAGTCAGAATGTTCCTAAAGGCAGAGGGGCCAACTTAAATAACGTATCCTCCAGACCAGTTAAACGCCTCGTTTTCACTGGCCGTCAATAAAGTGCTTGTTCTCCGAACCGGCTATCTTTCTGTTCCTCCTCCCTTTCAGGTCACGGTAAGGATAGGTAGTGTAAACGCGCACTGTTTAATATGCATGACTATCTACTATATTTCATTTAGCAAACCTTATTTAATTTAATCACCTCTTGAATCTTGCCTAGCACAATGGCATAACCACGTGAACCAAATCGTTCCAGAATGATATTTTCACTGATACATTATCCGATATAAGGCACTCTTCGGCGTTCGCCCCCTCCCCGTAATCCATTTCTTTCAAAAGGGCGGCTATGCATTCTTATTTCATGTCGGTAGTACTCACCATACAACGCGCACTGAACGGATCGTCGGCTGCGTCTTGGTTTACTTTGCTTCAGTTAGAGCACAGCCGCTCATCTTCCACGACATCTCCAAACACTGTCTGTTGTCGGACGTGTACGCTATGACTTATTTACTTCCTGGAAAAGGCTAGCTGAGTTGTGCTATGTCGGTTACCAATATGCAGCGCCTGCAGTAAGAGTCATTGACTGCGTTTTGGTTTACTTTGGCTCGGTTAGGACACAAACACACAACTCCCACGATATCTCCAAACGACTTCTGTTGTCAAACATGCATGCAATGGCTTACTTACTTCTTCATGTATACATGTGCGTAGTCCCTCTCATAACCGGCAATAAGGCAGTTAAATTCCGTTGAGTTTACGTGCAAAAATTTACTTCAAAATAATCGTCAAATTGAGTTTATGAACGATTCATTCACGTTCCCTATTCGGGAAGCTGTTGCACCGGATATGCTTCCGCAATATCCGACAGAAATACTCATGTGCGTCGGGTCACCTCGCAGTAAATTTTCACAGTTACCATATTTGGCGCTTACAGCTCTTCTCTCCTATTCATTGTTCCTTTCATTGATCCCTTGACTGCCTCAAATTTGTAGAAGGCGGATTATTCAATTAACTCTTTCTCATTGAAATTTGCCTAAGTTCACTTCTCTGTTCGCGGCTGCCTGGAGTAGATAGTGGTGCACTCACATGCGACAACAAATAGGCGTTTGCAGCGCGCATAATCCCACGTCACTTCAAACCCTGTGGCCTGATGGTTCATTGGTTGAGCCTCGAAATCCGATTGGCTGTAAAGCCCGAGAAGCTAAAGGTGGCAAACCCGGAGAGCCCTTCTTATTGGTGACATCCAACACCTAAATACCGCCAGTCACACTGCACTTTTCATGTACGCCTATGCCGTCTCAGGTATGGACTGCAACCCATTAGCCAGTATTTCAGCCGAACAGGGCTTCAAGGTGAGTGCCGCCGAAGTTTATAATGCAGCATCCACTTGTCAGGTTGCCATTCAAACGAGAGCAGTGAGGAAAAGACTGCGTAGATATTTATCGCGTCTGGACCAGTCAAATTTCGACCTAGCCTTCCCACAATTCGCTCTCAACAGTCCCATCGTCGTATTGCTAGATGATAACTGGATGGACGAGAAGTTGGCGATCGAGCAACTACTATGGCAGTCGACTGACTCGATGACGGAACTTGCCCTCTGGAATGGAGGACCCGTGCGCGGAGAGGGAATAAGAAGTTTTCTCAATGCATTTGTCAGCATGCCTCTGGTGAATGTGGTATCAGTGGACTTCAGCGATCAATGTCTCAATCTGGCGGATTATTTTAATCACTTTGGAAGCAATCATCTGCCCAGATTGCGTCGTCTAAGCCTGAGTCTGTGCCACGTGAGGAATGTGCTCAGTACGGCGTGCGTTGAGAGGGAGGTGGGTTGTTTTCCATCACTGGACTATGCGAGTGTCCGTTTTGTGGAAGGTTACTGTCGTAGTTGTTATTGTGAAGTGCTACGTCATCTGAGGAACACTAGACAGCTTGCCTTGTTGGGTGGACTTCCATCGATTGTTCAAACACCCTGCTGTCCAGATGAAGTGCACATTTACTTCCAAAATCTTCGTAAACTACGAGTATCTTTGAGGTTTTTGCTTAGAGATGAATGGCAAGAGAGAATCCGATTTCCCAATCTTGAAGTTGTGGTTCTGAACTGGCCCGAAGTGTCTGTGTACCTCAGACATAAGTCGAAGTGCAATTCCTTGTTCCCGGGTGCTCAAATACACTTTTCCCTCTCGAAGGAACACCAAGGCAATACCCTCAATGACTGCCGAGCCTGTGATTGCCGTACAAGTCCTGATATGACCTTGGCATTCGCGGCTCCCAATGACTGGTCGTCATGCCCATCGGGAGTGAGGTTCGGAGGTTGCAGTGAACTCTACCTCAGTGATGACCTGATTGTTCCACTCTCCCTCAGGGAAGTTAAACTGCAATTTTGTCTTGAACCCATCATCAATGGTCGTCGTCGTCTTGGCGAGGCCCTTGAGAGGAGTGACATTGAAGAGATCATTGTGAAGGGTGATGTGGGCATTTCTCACCTTCGATGCACCGTAACTTCAATGAACGGATCTATTACGATATCACTGAATGAGAGACCTCCTAGGGCAAGCGTGACGCACGACTTTGGGGTGGTAGTCAGGCTGAAATTCCTGCCTCTTTTGGCTGTTCAGCGGAACACACTCGTCTCACTTGACATTTCAGCAGAGTTGCTCCTTGGTTGTCTTAGAGATGACCAGTCGATGGAACAAATTGTGGGTCTTCGTGGTCAGCTGTCAAATGTGCGTCAGTTGGTAGTCATCTGTGGATCATTACTGAGTCCTGACTTCTTCATCAAGGAAATAATTTCAATTGCTGACCTCCGACCCTTTCTGGAGATGTTTCCATCTCTTGAATACCTTGAAGTGGATAAAAAGGGTACTTTCAGAGGGCTACCATTGATGATTTCTGCGGTGTTTGTTCATGCTTGAAAACACTAGTCTGTTATTCAGGCAGCTATGGAGATGATTTGATGGACAGAAGGAGTCCTCCCTGGAGGCTGGAAACACTCCAGTGGTTACTTGATGATGACTTTACTGTTGAACATCTGTCTGCACTGGCCGACTGTGTGCAGTCATCTTGCATTATCCTGTATCTCGCTGATAGCGAACCGACATTGAAGAAGGAGCACGTTGAGACTGTCTTTGCAAGGATGCCCTGTCTACGCTGGCTTGTTCTGGTTTGGGAATTACGAAGGCTTACCTGGATCTGCAGTCAGTCCGTGGACGGCAAAACGATAGAAATCGTGCCGGAGAATACCATATTGGGGGAGGATCTTTTACCAATCTATCCCCATCTATTTTCAAAGTTCTGGCTTGAACTGATGTGGGACTGTCCTTCATATTACTCCGCGTATGAATAGATTACATACTGTCTTGCCCACCTGTGCGTCATTTTCAAAAATAAATTGCCATGCCGTATTTCCTCATTAATCGAATGAAATTGTTTTCCCTGAATGGCGGCTGAAACCGCCCGTACCTGTTCCTATTTGTTGCATCTCTCAATTACCTCAGTCCCTCCCCCGCAGCTAATCAGCTAGGAAGCAACTTGACTTCAAAAGAAGCCGGGGGGTGAGGGGTTTTCACCGAGAGAGAGAGATTTTTTGAATCTGACATCTTGAGTAGTGATTTGGGCACAGCTCTCATTGTATGGCACACTTTGCCTGATGCGTATGTCTCCAATGCCGACTGTGGGGTCGGATCGGAAGCCGATTCGTCATGACAATTGGGAACTCCTTCGAGTCGGCCTCCCATCACGACAGAACTTCTGTATCCAGCATGGAGTCGGAGGAATAGAAGTCAGTGTGGGCTGAGGTTCCGAAGACTGCTCTGAGTCAGTAAGACAGAACTATGAGGACAATCCTTACTCTGGTAGGGGAAGTATAAGCAGTTCAGAAGGCAATGGCAGTCGTTGTTCAGCTAAACCAAAAGCCACCCATTGTTTGCCAGTGCGGGGTGTGGGCGTTGGGCATAAGCCAAGTCCAACTTTAGTTAATGTGGGAAGTGGAAGATGTCGATTCCCGTCACGGTGTTGGTAATCTAAAGGCTGCGTCAGTGGCATCGTAAGCAGTCAACCGGCAAGTAGGTCCGCACGCTGTCACCACAACCTTTCTCTGTTACTAACCGTATTATTTTATGATGCAATTAGAGGGCGTTTCTGTATGAGGGTAAAGTTGCCAGTTTTGGCCTCGAATTTCCACGATTTGCCTAACCTGGACGACGTGTATCAATTGGAGTGCCGTTTAGCCGACAGGAAGAAGCTAATTTTGCTTTCGGATGCCTCGGAGGTACATCTGATCAGAATATCGGTCATGATGAGAACGGATTTCTGGAGCGTTTCGTGTCCAACGACTTTATTGAATGCTGCCAATACTCAAAACTTTAATGGATGAGAAGTGAGATCTGTTTGTCGGTCATGGGGAGCTAATTTGCTATACTCTAGAAATGATGAATGTCCACGGAGTGATCTCCAGCACATCTCAGCCTATTCCAACCCGGATACAAGGAGAGGGGCGTTCAGATCTTCCTTGTGGGAGACTGTGCTTTCTCCTCTACTCATGAAACAGGTCGCACTAGTCGGGGGATTCTATAATCCTATGGGGAATTCGTTAGCGTATTCCATCCTAGCCGGAAGAGAGTGAGGTAAGGATCATCTAAAGATGCACCTTGGTCCACCTGATCGAAGTCTGTCAACGCAGGGAGGCAAGTTGTTCAGTTTGTCCTGTAGCTAACCGCCAGGATCCCTTCGTGAAGATCCTATGGGGAGTTGAATGCCTTTCAGGTAACCTGACTCAATGATATTGGCTGGCTGGTTAATGGTTGTACCCAGGTGGAGAACGGTGCACTTTTGTAGAACGGTGTCAAACAGCTATCGCTCAAATCGATTTTGTAGACGGCTTCGATTATTTTGAAGAACTATCTTCACATCGATGCCTCGAAGGAATTTCCAGAGTACTACGTCCTCGGTAAACATGATCTTTCCCACACTGGAGTCCCTGAGGACGGTTATTACCGGTCAGAATAACGAGGAAGCGCCCTAGAACTGACTAGTCGTAGCATTCACCCAGTTCGACTCCTCCCTCGATGCAGACATTCGTCAGTAGCCGACTACACATTTAAATTCGACGAGGACGAAATCCTCACTGGAGGTGACAATCGCGTGAGCCGCGAGCTACCCGAGTCATAGTTCACTGGCCCCCAGTCCGGTAATAAGTGTAATGACCTTCCCCTTTTATATTCGGAGCTGAGACTTCGCCTAGGCGGAGGAATGAGCCACGCGAGGACTGCACTGGGGAGCACTGTTTCCAACGCCAGTGTCGGTGGGTCAGATGGTGTAGCAATCCTCACACCAACATCCAACACACGTGATGAAATTGCAGCAACTAACGACGCGAATGGCGGCCATCGAACAGACATCACACCAAGTGCAACAAGCCCTCATGGGGACGTGAATTTTCATTGGTATGCGATAGCAAAGAGACTCCGTTCTACAAACAATGCAACCCCTTGTGCATGAATCACCCGTATCTACTATTGTCCTATGCTGATTGATTCGAGCAGGAATCCGAAACGCCAGGTGTATAAATCTCTGCCTCCAGCGACCTTGTCTCTATCAACAGCATTGTTTCAGCAATAACTTATTCTTAATATACCTACCGTGACGCTATAATCTAAAGCCACTTCATACAACCGCCAAAAACTACAGAAAGATGCCGAGTTAGTCAAGGAACAACGCTCACCCAATTTTCGCCGATTTAGTCCAGTTTACTGGGGTACAGGTTTTTGCACGGCAGTGTGAATTAACCCAATTATTTGCGTTCGTTACTCTATCATCCGGCAGATAGTTGGGTCTCGATGAAGTTAATTAGAGTTCAGGTGACGGGTCTCATCTGGTCTGGGGTCCCCGACTCCTACAGTTCCTCGCACTGAAGGTGTTATTTGTAATTGGGAAAACAGAATAAGTAGGAGCACTGTGATTCTCTCGCACTCTCAGACGCCGAATGAGGCCAAAAGTTTACTAAAATAAACTGGTGCTTTCGGCAATCGTACCGTCTATCTCTTCGTGCTTCTAAAACCGAAAGTGATATTCGTATGCGTGTCTCCATGCCATACTTTGTATTTCAATAACTTTAGACAAGTTCAGAGCTCCTTGATATCCTGCAACACTTGACGATAACAAGAGCACGAATACATTGGTGGACTTTGTTGTTTTAAGCAAAAAATATTTCAGACTGGACGATCGCAGGCGCGGAAGAATGCAGTTCTCCGGAGTGTTGAGTCCGGAAATCTGCGTAGACATTCATTCCCCTTAAAAGGGCGCCGACCGTTGTCACCTTGAGGTTGTTATCAGTTGGCGGGAGCGAGCAATGAATTTAAGGTATGAAAGGAAAATGATCTGGGAAGTGTCCACGGGCAAATAAAAATGGTAGAAATGGCGGCGCATTTTCGAAAAAATTTCGTCAAACGCTATGAGGTGAGTATATTTGGGGCAGCAGAGTTCAAAGATCAGGAAGTAGGCGTGAACAAACAGAGATGATAGATAAACGAAGGAAAGATTTGCAGTGGCTTGAAAAAGTGCAGTGTTGCCAAACGGTAGTGTGTAAGCCACATGTACATATATATATATATATGTGCGTGTGTTTGCGTATGTGTGAATAATAATGAGTACAAGTACCATGGAGTGCAGTCAGTCACATCTAGAGCATCGTCTCCGGAAGGAGTGCTCGACGGTGACGGCATGGTGAGCAAGTTATAAATGAGGTCAATACACAGATGTGGATGCATTCTGCGAAGATGAACACCTGCGGTCTACTTAAATTGAAGCAAAAATCGAAGTTTGGCTAGGGCCAAGATGTCTCCGGAAATGCGGATGCGTGACGCCTTCGTAGCCTCGAGTAAATCCAGTCTCCCGAGTAGAACATCGGCAAAGTCAAGGGAGGTCAAGTGCACTGTGACGGAGGGTTTCTTTGCTCCGAGCACGCCTTTACCACATTTGCCTGAAGGAGAAGTTCGGACGATTGGCGTATAAAAATAATGATCGTTGTGGGGATGAAAAGGATACTTTGCAGGTGTCGGACAAACAGCATCACAACGCAAACAACAACAGGCATTCAGCAGTCGGCTTTCTGCCTTAGAAAAGCTACCTGAAAATTGCACGTGACCATTTCCTGAAAACCCGGCACTCAAGGTAGGCAGGACTGAATTATATGGCCCTCTAAACGGGACATGAGAACAGGGCCCGCCTGCAATACGGGTGGCTGTGAGCCTGCTTCCAATGAAATCAGGTTTAGGTTTAAGGTTAGAGTTCGGGTAAGGACTTGATTTTAGGCTAGATTTAAAGTTAATGGCAAGGCAAGTCAAGATCAAGTTCGGGGTTAAGATAGGGGTTAGTGTTACCTGCAGTTTTATGTTTGGGGCAGAGTTGGAGTCAAGATGAGGGCAAAGGTTTGGCTTTGTATTATGGTTATTGCTGAGGTTAGGACACGTGGATATTTTGCCCTTTCCGGAATTATGCGAAGATTCGCCTTTATTACTTGGCGGGGAGTACCTATTCCCATGTCTTGCTTAAAGGACCACATAAGTCGGTCCTACCGCAACGGCCATTCTCACAACTTTGTCGCGGAGACAATTATAAAATTACAAATTTTATAAATTGTAAAATTTCCTTTGCTGTGGTTTAGGCGTCATGAACAGGACACAACCTCGCTCTCGATGATGTGAGAATCCTGTGCCAATCAAATAACCAGACTTCGCGTCTGCCGGAGCAAGCATGACATTCAGTCGATGACTAAACCAATAAGCAGATGGACTAGCCAATCGCTTATCAGACGCTTAACGGGCAAACAAGTGGCTCAGCTAATGACCATTCTCAGTGGGGATGACTCACATATTCGTTGGGCTGTGCACTTCCCTTAATTTCGACACTTAGATAT